ATTCCCCCCATTTAACAAACCTTCTCCCAACATAATCTTGTTTCTTACAAATACATCTAACAGTTTCTGTTTATAGTGAAGTACTTTAACGACTTATGAGGAAATGAAGAAGCATAATTATTAAAAATCTTATTTATAATTTGGATTAAGACTGTAGAAACTCTGTCTCGTTGATGCTCAAATACAGAAGCAAATTGTGCATTTTTATACGAACCCACTCAGTTGTTCATTCCTTTGGGCTGGATTACACATTTCGCCCTCACTGTTGAGTATTTTTATTCCTTATTCTGTTTTATATATTCCATATTTCCATCTTTGTGTGAACCTACAGTATTTGCTTTGATTGGCTGTCACTTTGGTGCTATTGCACAGAAGTTTCACCATTGTGGGACAATAAAGGATATTTCTTTTCCTTTTTTTTTTTTTTAAGATAATACAATGCACCCTATTTCCATATTCTATGGCTCTGAATGAGATAAGTTATTTTAAATTGATCAAATTCTTCTAGAAGTTTCAGAATTCCAGCAGGAACAAACTTAAAAGATAAAGCATCGTTAAAAAACCCTCTCATAATGACTTCCCTTAGAGAAACTGAGATTTCAGACAGATAAATGTGTGTTTTGTCTATAGCAAATCTCCAGTCTACAGCTTTATAAAGCCTGTCTACCATATTTTGAAGACTTCTTGGATCAGTGACCAAACACTCCTACTGTTCAGTTTTTATAATACAAGTAGAGACCTCCCCCACATGTTCACTGCAAAGTGACCTATGCATTTCAGCTTGATTTAAATTAATTTTAAAAATCCCAAAAACTGACAAAATGGGAAAGAGAGAGAATTGACAAGTATCAGATACAAATGGAATCAGGCAATCGTTTCCGTCGTCTCATTGTGTTCTCTATTCTGTCTGGATTAAAAAGTAGACCTATATAAATTGCACTTATAATATTTTCCTGTTTTTTTGTTTGTTTTTTTCCACAACCCGTAGATACTTCTGTTAGTGATATGAATAAGAAGGAGCTAATTGAGCCAACATATCTACATGTTTCTGGTGTACCAAAACATGTAGATATGTAAATGTTGCTCAGTATTTTGTCTCCTGGTGAGTTAAGAGCATTAGCAGTATTTTATTGCAATCATACAGAATGTGCCAACAATTACACCTAAAAGTTTGCAAGGATTTTAAGAATATATTCATTAGTTCCACTGCTATATGGTCTCTTTCTTGTACAATCCCTATATTTCTAATACTGACATACCTGATTGTGAAACATATAGATGTGATGCTTGTTGAAAAAAAGTCCATAAAAACTCTTTTCCTACTCTTTTTTTTTTTTTTTTTGCCTTAGAATGATGCACCACAATTAGAGACCATTTTCTTTCTAGTTTAAACCTTTGCAAATCCTAATCCAATTGTAATGTGGCCATTACTGGCTCATTTTTTACACTTGCAAGTCATTAGTCATTGTTAATTACCATATCGAAAAGAAGAGGCCAGCCAGGGGGAGTTCTAATGAGAGTTTAGTGCCGCAGTAGATTCCCAGAGAATTGTGGGTGGAGAACATATAGCGGAGGACGAAGCTCTGATCTGAGATGATCTGGTACCTGTGGCATTCAGCGACTGATCACTGCCAAGTGATGCAGACAGCTGAAAGAAAAGCTTCTTATGGAAGAGTTTAAGGCCCTACGACTGTGAATGTGCGTGTAGGTGTGTGTGCATCTGTAAATACCAAGTCTTTCCTTCGGATGTTATTGGAAATGTTTCCTAATGTATAGTGCTCCGCATTGCTTGGGAATGCTTCCCCTCAGTTCAACGAGTAGCAGAAAACCCGACAGCAGTGTTATATTTGATGTGAAGTGGCGGGATTGAGTCAGAGAGAGAGAGATGAGGCTGAGGCTAAATAGACATTGTTCTAGCCTTTTTAAGGACTCCAGAAAGTAGTATATATGCAGAAACATCTAGTTAATGCAGTCAAGCTAGATTCAAAGTCATTTGTCAATGGTAGTGGATTTGGCATAGGTTAGATTAATGGTTTTATTTGTAATAACTTTTAAGGGCAATTACTCAAATAAGTCAATTGATTTCATTGGTAGTAACTTTTAGGAAGTAGTAATTTCACCAGTTGGTAATATGTTTTGGTCCATCAAAAGAAATGGTTGGACTCAGAAACTATATATTGATAATATAAGCAATATTTTTGATTCAAACCTCCTTTTGGCTCTGAATTTATTGAATAGACGCATGAGTTCAACAACAAAGATTGTTTTTGATCTGAGTGCCTGTTGGGCCCATTCAGCTTTCGAGGGTTTGAGGAATCCCCGATCGTTCGTGTAGCTTCCTTAGAAATGTGAACTGTGGACACTGACATGTGAGTTGGTTTACGTCTGTGTTTCCAACTTAAATGGTATTTTAGGTTCGAATAGCTCCGGTGATTGACCAGCTACTTGGTGCACAATGAGCTTCTTGTTACACATCCAGAACTTTTTTTTTTCTTCTTTTGAAAGAAATAACCAGTAGGCCAAGAGGAGCCGCTTCTGTCTGCATCACAGTTTGTTTGTCCGATTTACGGGTCTACCAGAAACATGTAGATATGGAAACAAAATAATGAGATTAACTCCACTAAATAATTTATGCATTAAAATATGTGCATTTAATTAATTGAAATCAATCAAAAGAAATCCCCCTCAAGTCCTGTGAAGTTAAACTGTGACAAAAATAGTAGAAATTCAAGTGTTATGCATAGTTTAGCACGGTGCTGAGGAATTTGAAAATTGTTGCAAGTTGATAATGGTAGAAAACAAGTAGGACGCTCTTTCTTTTTGGGAGGAAATTACCTGATAAACATTGAGTTTATCTATGCATTTTTTGTTCTGCTCAACTAGAGAGGAAGGTTACAGGAGATCCACACACACACACACTCTCTGCTTATTTTTTCCTCTGCACACTAAACGGCCTCATTGTTATCTTGCACAGATAAACTCACACTCATCAGCACACTGCAAGAGGAGGGGAGCGTCAGTGCATGCATGTCTGTGTGGGCACCCACGCTGCGCTAAGTGTCAGCACCAAGGCTTAGGCTATTGTTGCCTTGGACCAAAACAAACTCCTGTCAGCCCCCGAGCGCAGGGGGAGACGCAAAGGCAGGCGGAGGGGGGAGGCAGTGAAGATTCACGTTGGACAGAGGATGAAAGTTTGGGGGTGCATCGGGGGGAGCAGAGGGGAGCGGAGAGAGAAGAAAGCGAGAAAAGGAAAACAGGACGACTGAAGGGGAAGGATTAGACAGCTGTTTACTGCCATCTCTGGAGAGAAGCAGCAGTCAAAGCAGAGGAATTTGTTTGCTTTTGCTGCTGCAATCCAGTTTATTTTTCCATCTCTGCCGTTTCTCTTCATGCCTGTTCTTGCCCCCTTCTGATTTGCAACACTGTGTCAGCACGCACAAAAAGCAATACTGGTTTGTTTTCCCCCCAGTCGCACGTCTGATTAGCTAACGCACATTTCCTCCTTAGTCAAATCAACCAGACGACTACCAAGAGAGTAGGAAGCAGTTAACATGCTAATGTAGAGCTAATAGGTATTGTGATAGCTCATTTTCAATGTGCAGAACAATTATAGTGATAACACTTCATACTATAAAGTATAACAACTTCCAACATCCTTCCAATCAATTTAGTGTTTTCATGTCCGAAGACAGAAGGCATCTGCACAGCATGCCTGAACCTTTACCGTGTTTAAGTGCAAGAAGGATGTTATTTCCTTTCTCAAAAGTAGAATTATTTCTCAAAATTGTTCTTTGATTTTAAATCTGAAAGAGCATCCAACTTGTTTTATATTGTTTTCTTGTTTTTGCTGCTTAGCTCAATGTTCTGCACATGAAAGCACCACTTTAATAGTTTTCATTTTTCTTAAAACCTGCAAATGTAATTTAAATAATCTCAATGCACAAGCAGATTTATATTAATTTATCCTTTAAGGTATTTTAATTTGGGTGCTTGGGTAAAAAACATGATTTGTTTTCGCCCTGAGTCAACAGCTGAATATTTACATTGTAGCTGTGTTGCTTATTTTCAAAGATTTTCAGGAGACTGGAATATTGCATGAGTGCATTCTTTTATTTTGTTATTTTTTTTTTTTTTATGCCCGAAAATAAACCACCATTTTTGGTTGACGCATAGTAAAATAGTATCTAGGGACAAAAAAACTCAGGTGGCTTGTAGATAGTCTCACACGCAACCACAGCCCTGCTTCATGACGTTCAAAGGCTCTGGAGCCACTCAGCGTTGCCTCTGTGCTCTTTCTCTGCCACTCTTTCATCATCTTGCCATCATCTCAAAAGCATCTTAAATGATTATGTTTTAGCTTCTCCCTTTTTTGTCTCGCCGTGCTTAGTCTCGCCTTCATGTTCACACTATTTGCTTTTAAGGCAGAAAGATGGACAGTAAGAGGCCCTTTTTGTTTCAGATTTGTGTCATTTTCGTTGCATAAGCACCACTGCTCTCTGCTCCGGTGCTTGCATGTGTTCTAGCTGCCGTTTGTTTTTGTTTTTTCTCCAAGTAAACAGACAGAAAGACATGGATTTACCTCGTCGTTATTTTGTTTACTTCAAAAGTGTAATTGGAGAAGCAGTAAAGTGTTCTCCTTTGCTGATTAATCCCAAACAATTAATGCACGTGGCTCCATTAAACATATTGGCAACTTTCTTAAAGTGAGATTAATTTGGCAGGCAGGAGGCTGAGTGGGCCTTTGTGGGGCTGGTTATCTTTCCTCAGCAGATTGGGCTAAGCTCTCCACAGGCCCGGTGGGATGAAGAGTGTTTGAGTGTAGAGACGGTGTGGAGCAATGTAGGTCATTTGGATGGTGTGAACACCACAAGGGTTTAAGATCGCGCTTCCCGATTACATGTCAAACACAAATGTTATTCGTTACTCAAACGTGCTCGCGCATTCTGGTGCACCTGCGGCGACTAATCCTGACCAACGACATCGTGGATCTCTGGTTTCAGCTCTCTGTCTGGTCGCATTGTCGGTGGCGTCTGGTGGTTCTTCACCCTGATCATCATCTCCTCCTATACGGCCAACCTGGCTGCCTTCCTGACCGTAGAGAGGATGGTGTCTCCTATAGAGAGCGCTGAGGACCTGGCTAAGCAGACGGAGATCGCCTATGGAACGTTAGATGCCGGTTCGACAAAAGAGTTCTTCAAGGTGAGAAATGTCAAGCTTTTGTACAGTGTTTGCTAAAGCACTGCCGTCTCTTACAACAACAAGCTGCAGTTTGTTTTATGGAGTCTTTAATCTGACGGGCCGACGTCAGTAGTTTGTAGTAGTTTGTGATCTTGCCAATGCAGAGGTACGTCTGTATTCATCTTCTAAGCAGTTCTAACCACCTTCCCTGGCCTTAGTGATGATTAGCGTCCTCGTAGCAACATGCTGAAACTAACATGTTTAATTAGGGATAGTTCAGTCTGGGTGTGTTGTTGTGTTATTTCTCTGACGCAGCATTTTTGCATATTTGCCAAAATGTTCAGTTGTCATCAGTCCCCTTCATGCATTGTGTCAAACTGCAAATGTTCTGTTTTTTTTTTTCTTTCTGAAACTGCCTTTTTTCCTCCTGCTACTCTTCTTTTAAAATCAGAACGTGCAGATTTGTTTCAGCAGGTCGTCGTATCTCAGCTGTGAACATAGGAAGTTCCCCTAGAGTTACCTTCGGCCTCCTAAATGTTTCTCTGATTAATGTTATACTTGCCTGTCAACATAAGTGGATTTCAACTTCTTCATAATCTTGTCCCTCACCTGTTCTTTCTTATTTAACTGACACTGTCTCTAATTTTTGGTCTCTGCCCTCTTGTTTAAACTTTTGCCCCTCAGAGGTCAAAGATCGCTGTGTTTGAGAAGATGTGGTCCTACATGAAGTCGGCTGACCCATCAGTGTTTGTCAAAACGACGGACGAGGGAGTGATGAGGGTCAGGAAATCCAAAGGCAAGTACGCCTACTTGCTGGAGTCCACGATGAACGAGTACATCGAGCAGAGGAAGCCATGTGACACGATGAAGGTGGGAGGAAACCTGGACTCAAAAGGTTATGGGATTGCCACGCCCAAGCGCTCCCTTCTAAGGTAAAATCCCGCCGTTGCGATATGATCAGGAAAAAGCCGTAAAAGTTATTTTATTGCTGTATTTCACATTTCATCTGTTGCTTCCCTCATGTGGCAGACATTTTATTTGTTTCATCCATTTTGATTTATTTAAACAGTACTGGAAGAAGGTCTAGACTTATACTAACTCAAAGGAATTAGAATAGAGTGTCATTTTATAGTGGTGTTGAAAATATCTCCTCGTGAAAAGAAACAATGATTTTTATTGGCCTCATCAAACAAGCGGACATTAAAATTTGTCTACCTTTTAGCAAAAGTTAAGAATCCTCATTTTGCCATAAATCACCTGAATCTTTCACAAATCAAAACATTTGTTTGAAAGAATCACCAATCAGTGTAGGAGATTCCAGCTCGGACTAGTATTGTGGTCTCATATTTATCTGATTCTAAAGTCCTGATCGTCTACAGATGCGTCTCAAAAATTTTTTATATCTTGCAGAACTTTAAGATTTTTGTAACTCATTTCAAAAAGTGAAACTCGTATAACACATAGAGTCACGACGGAGTGAAATATTTCAAACTGTAACTTCTTTCAATTCTGATGATTATGGCTAACAGATGACGAAAAACCCAAATTTAGTGTCTCAGAAAAAAATAGAATTTTGGAAACTCACGATGTCGCATCCTAATCAGCTAATTAACACAGAGATAAACAGTAGTGGTCATTGACACTCTCCCCACGGAGGGCATTCCCCGAAAGGTGATTGCTAAAGATGCTGGATGTTCAAAGAGTTGCTGTGTGCCAGCATATTCAGTGGCAGGAGAAAGAGCGATAGGAAAAGTTGCACAGGCTGCAGCGAAAACAGCAGCTTTGAGAGAATTGGCGAGTAAATTCCTTTCAAAGTTTTTTGTGTGAACTTCATCAGGAGTGGAATGAGGCTGGAGTCAGCATATCAAGAGCCGCTGTGCACAGACAAATCTGACATGGGAGCTTCGAATGCCACATTCCTCATGTCAAGCCACTTCTGAACAAGAAATCTTTTCCAATGCAAAGAAAGTTTTATTTCATTTTACATAAATTCAGCAGCAACTGCACAGACCGTTGTCTGAAACGTTATTTCAGTGAGGGTGTTAACATCATGAGATCTTGTGTCATTTTTATTCCTACGTTCACTCCTCGGATGCAAGATGAAGCGATTGTGGGGGGCAGGACTGTCGCAACAAGCGATAAATTAAATATTTGCATGATGAATTAGAAGGAGCTGGATAATTACAAATATGTTGATAATTTCCAGTTGCGTGCGTGTTTGTTTTTGTCGCCGCTCTCTCTCTTTCTACCACAGAGACTTGATGATGCCGTGGTGCATCGAGTTACTTTTCCCGTCGTCGTTCCTCCAGAATAATACAGGGAGCGATAAACGGAAAAACTTCAGTTTTACGGAGCTCCGGGTGAACCCGACACGCGGAACGCGACAGAGTCAAAAGTTTACATTTTTTATGGCTAGCCCATACGTGCACGTCTTCATGTACGAACTTGACATTTCCTGTGCATAACATAAGCTTTATAGGTAATGATGAATGTAGAGGGAGCGACGCTCTTCTCCTTTGTATTAACCCCATAAGGAGGAGTGAAGTCGCCTCCACCAGGCTCACGCTCTCCTGCCACAGAACCTAGCATGAAAGCCTAGTGGGGAGGAAAGAGCCAGAGAATGGCTGCTTTGAAAGCTGAGCATGACAGCCGCAGTCTGGAAGCACTCTGGATTGACTGTGCTGAACCCCGTGACCCGTGAGAGCCGGGATGCTGCATTTAAACACTATGAACCTGAAACGTAATCATCCAGGGCAGTTTTTCCTGCTTGGAAGAAGAAATTTACAACCTAATGCGGTGTCTCTGTCTAATGTGGTATTTAGTCGACAAGCAAAATACAAAAAGGCCAATGCTAAATGATGCGCACTAAGACAATTTAATTGTTGAACAAATACTGCCCTTTCATCTCATTGAAAAGCCAGCATTTCGGAAAAAAATTTAAAGATTTGACACCAGTGCAGAGTTAAGTTTTCACAGGCAGTATTCCCAACGATTAATATATTTTGAAGGGCAAGTTTGTTTACAGAGACTTCACAATCCATTTTTGTTTATTTATTTATTTGGGATGTTTCTAATGCCTTCCAGCTCCAGTGTTAAATGTTCTTTAGAAATTCATTTATTGAGCTTTGAGAGGATGCACTTGTGTTATTATGCTATTTTTATGCTGTTGGTTACTCAAATTACATTTTTATTGTTTATCGCAATAATTTGCGACCATTTATTGCCCATCAAAATTTGTTATTGTGACAGGCCTAATGAGAGAAGCTTGAAAACCTTTGCAAAAGTACTGTTCATCTGTTTTCTTTCTGTTAGCATGTGCACATTCATGATCAAATTAAGCCTTTCATTCTTGTGTTTGTTGCTCACAACCATGAAATGAAACTTTGTTTTCACTTTAATTTTTTTGTAGTTTGTATTTATCAAATGAATGTATTTATAGAGTTGGCTCCTACAGCTTCTACCTCTCGTGTTTGTATATTCTTGTAGTAAAGTGAATCTACTTAAGCAAACTTGTGAAAACAAATAGAAGTGCAAAGTAGGACAAGAAGATGTCGATTCCTGTTTGACCCTCCGTTTGGTTAACTCTACGGCTTTTTTTTGACGAATTGATTTGTGGAAGCTAAACTCAACTAAAGCGTCACAATTCTGCAATCGTGGAACTTGTGAAACGGCATTGAAAGTAAAGGAATCTACATCCAACATGGCTACTTTCCCACTTGAGCTAGAGCTCACACCTTGAATGTTCCACTTTACCCCATTCAATGTGACAAATGATGTAACGAATGATGATTCTTTCTGGGTTTGCTCCCGACATCGACAAGCGGCAGCTGTCATTTCACATCGCATTAACATTCTAACCGACTTCCCATTTATATTGCTTCTGCAACCACAGAGAGAGTGCAAATGCTGGGTGGCATCTGAAGCTTTTAATCTGTCTCTAATAGGCCTCATTCATTTTAATGAAGGAAGCCACACTGGAAGATTTTATTCAATCATTGCTGGGTTTTCTTTGGGACCTTGGTTGGCAGCCAGAGGTCAGAATGCAGACAGGAAATGGTTCTTGAGCCTTTCTCAGATGTTCCTGCTTTTTTGAAATTTATGCAAATCACATTTTATACATCAAGTAAGTGTTGCATTAGTTTAAGCTATAAATGGTGGGGGGTGAAATTAAGCTGCTCCAAACCCACATCTGGCCCTCAATAGCTGAGGATGTACCAGCGTATCTCCCGCTCTGTGGTGATCCCTAAATGAGCGGTGTTTGTTGCTGTCGGGTTTCTCTCGCCGTCATTCACAAATGTCTCGCACCGAGATTCGATAACGACTAATAAATTTGCATCGCTAATAAATGAAATTGAAATGCGCCGGTCTTGATTTAAGTTCCCGGCGCTCATGTGCGATTAGACATAAGTGAATGACCAAGCACTGCTCATACTGAATTCAATCATACCTGCAATGAGCTGTCAACAAATGAATGACGTTAGACTGCCGCATGTCAAGTGACTCCATTCTTATCTGTGTTCAGAAACAGGAAAACAATTTTATTTATTCACATTTGAGGGATATCAGCTGCACTGCATTGCAGGTTTGATTGAAAAGTTTCCATTTTACAGGAATGTCTTCAAATAACCCTTTTCTTCAGGTCAATCATTCTAATGTATTTCTTACATGTGCAACATCCATCCATCCCCAGCAGAGTTTACCCCATCTCTCTGATGTTCTGTGGCCTTTCTGATATCTGCTGACCTCAGAGCAACAGACCAAACTAACCTGAGCCATCCATGTTCACGGTCTTTGACTTCTTTCTTTTTTTGTCTGAGTTTGCTGGGTGGAGAATGAAGTCAGAAAGAGGTTTTACCAGCCCTGAGGAAAAAAAAGGGAAATGTGTTCCCTACAGCTGTGTTGTGAACTCAAGGCCAGGGGATAAAGACTCCTCTGTTTCTGCTGGTGAGAAAGGCTGAATATTAAACCGAACCTCGCCGCAGAGAAAAAGACGGTCTTGACTTCTGGTCATAGATTCTGCCTTTCTGCCTTAACGGGGATGGAGAGAATCTTTGTCCACGGCCAAACAGCTACAGGAAACACACTCGTGCACTTAATCCAGAGAGGACGAGAGTAAGCTATAAGGAGATGCCTTCAGTGAGTTCACCTGCTCGTGGAAGTATTATTCTTTTTATGCTTTATGCTTTAAACGTATTTACACCCTACAAGCCTTTGCCTGCTTGTGCTCTTGCTGATAGACTCAGTGAGCAAAGACACCAGGACAGGATTTGAACCCAGGACCTTCTTACTAAATCCTCCAGAAATCCTGAACCGTATATTACATGTAAAAGTAATATTGAACAAATACTGTACAGGCTAATAAAAATAACTGATAAATAACCCTTTAGTTTAGCACTGGTAGGAATCTTCAGAATCAACATGAATGGCTAACACTTAGCAAATCAGTGTTTTCCCACTGGGTGCTTTTCAGTCACTCGTGGGGTCTTTGTTTAGCCAACACTGATTTTTGTTAGCCGACTTCGTCAACAGAAAGCTTCAACAGCTGAAGAAGTACTACCACAAGAAATATCAAACCTTTATCAACACTTCAATGAAGGATTCAAGGTCGGCGTGATCATCTTTGTACGTCTTGTGAATAAACAGAAACAGGGAGGTTGAAGCCAACCTGTTGCTATTGTGCCTCTGACTTTCCAAGCGAAGTAATCACAGCCCTGTTTCAGCTGACTTGTGCCAAATCACGTGTGTGTGTGATTTGGCTGTTACAGGGGACAGAGGTAACCAGTTGGCCTGTGAATTTAAATCAAAGGAAATTGTATGTAATCCCTTCTGTGATTGATGGACTTAATTTCTTGCCATTAACATCATTATACATATTGAACTGCCATGAGACAGAACAAGTCTCTAGCCATCGGATCTCTTGGTACTGGTGCCACTTGAAGACAGAATGCACAAAATGGACACAAATATGATGAGTAACACACCTGTATCACACCCACTCATTACCGATCTTTGGTTTCATCAATGCCAGCTTGCTATTTAAGGCCCACATGCAAGAAGGATGTTTCAAGTTTGATTTGAAATTTGCCATAGGCAGCTGAGAAAGGGTTCTTCTGTCTTTGTGGCAATTTCTTTGTCAAAGAGGCTAAGTTGACAACACTTTATTCGCTAACTCTGTCAACAAAATAATCACTTTTCTTTCTTACTTCTTAACAAGGTCGTCAAACACTGATCAAGGTTACTTCATCAAATTAAGTAATCTGAATAGCACAATCCAAGACAGACTTTGCTCAATAATATTGAGGCAAGTTATTGCTGCAACATCTTGTGGGAAGATGCTACATTAGTACACCTCCCATCAATTTACTGTATTCGTTACCATATTAAAAGTAATTAACTTCATCACCCAAGGCATCTCAGTTTAGCCCTCTGTCTCTCTCTCTGAGGCCCCTGCTTGGTAAAACCTGGTACATCTCAGCAGCATTTCAGTGCACTGCATGTGTATAACATAACACGCACATTCAAAACCAGGGCTGCTGGTCCGTATGAAGTTAGCTACATTCAGGACAATCCCTTACTTTCAAGTCAATGTTGTCATAATTGCCACCACTATGCGACCAATCTCTCTATATCTGTCTCCTAACGGTTATCGTTTCATATCATTTTCAAGAAACCCAGTAAACCTGGCAGTGTTAAAACTGAACGAGCAGGGCCTCTTGGACAAATTGAAAAACAAGTGGTGGTACGGCAAAGGAGAGTGCGGCAGCGGGGGAGGGGACTCCAAGGTCAGAGCCAGTTTTGATGAACCCTGTGTGTAACGGGGTGGAGATGGTGGTAACCGGCAGCTCGACGCCACACCGCCTCTCTGGCAACACTGTTTTTATCTATGAGATTTAGGAACGAGCCAAACTTTTGAGCTGTTTGACAGTAAATTTGAAATCCGCCGAGCTGAATACATGCACCAAGTGAACCGTGAAACTTTATTAGTAATTGAAGCAGCAGAGGGAAGCACAATCTGTTATTTGATACTGCAGATGCTTTTCAGGGGTAGTTGTTAAATCTTGCATTTTTATTTTTTTTTTCCATATTCTGTTAGTAAAAGATTTAATTAAGATGACAGTGTTGCATGAGTGGGGGTGAGCAGAGTGCCGGTTACCCGAAGTGATATAGTAATACACATCTACAGCCTTACAGAGTGAGCCAGCCAAGCTAGATGGAGTATTAATGCATATCACTTTGACTCAAATGTTAATAATGACGTTTAATGCCATGTATTTGTGTGTTTGTGTGGGATGTTTTAATTTTCTTTGTCGTCAAGCAAGCGAGACCAAGCATTGATTGTTGTGTGGACGTACTTGTTTGCTCTGTGTTTCTGAATTAATAACATAAAATAACATGGCGTCATATGTTATTTATGTTATTTCCCTACTGTTGGAAGAATCCCAGTAAACCTAGCGGTGTTGAAACTGAATGAGCAAGCCATCTTAGACAAACTGAAAAACAAATGGTGGTACGATAAAGGCGAGTGTGGCAGCAACGACGCCGCAAGAAAGGTTAGTCTCAACGCAAAAAACTGACACCTCACTGTGCCTCCCAACCCTAACCCTGCTTTGTTCCTAGACCAGACCTTACCCTTCAAAAATAAAAATACAGTGGTCCTCCCTGTGTGGCTTTCGTAGAACCGCACTGGACCAAATATCAGACAGCAGTACAAAGATTACTTCTCTTTTTTTTTCTTTCTGAAATTTGGAACACTTAACTTAGTAATGCATTTTTTCCCTTTAGGATTTATACATTGCAAAATGTATTCAGCAAATTATGCAAAGTCAGTGCATCAGTCTTCAAAAACGTACTTTGGTTGATTCAGTTTAGAGTAAGGTTTAACCAGCAGGGACCAATTTAAACTGTACAAATCAAAAATCATTTCCTTTGCTGAGAGAAATCGGTGCAATTTCCCCTCACTTTGTATGCTTTCAGGACTCACATCAAAGACAGTCACATGTGGCGTGCGTTTAATTTTTCAACACACTTTCAAAAGGTCACCGCTTTTGTGGCTCGAAATATTTCAGCACAAACTTCGATTTTACAGAATAAGCAACCAAGTGGAATAAATTACGTGTGACGTATACAGTGACTTCCACTCTTATTGGCACTCCCAATTAAAAGCGTATAAAACAATTTTACTGGAGAGACATATACATTTTTAGACAAATCAGTGGTGCAACAAATCCTGACTAGTCTTTACAATTTACATATTACGTTTTCTATTTCAGCTTCTTATACCTCTCTGCTTCGTCCGTCTATATTTTAGGCACCTAATTTTGAATTGTTTTCACTCAGTAAGAGGATCCAGACTGAGGACTGTTAGTGTAAGAACACCCCTATCAGAAAAGACGCAGATGTTTCAGTTTCTGGCCTGTAGTTCAGCGGTGAGGGCGGGTCAGGCTAAAAATCATTTGATTCCAGTCAGCAGCAATTTATTTTTGTATTTATTTATTTTCTTGGTGCTTCTCAACTTCTTTTTATGTTTATGAAAACGCTAAAGAAGTTGTAGCCACTCATACACGACTTCCTGTTTCTCTTGCTGCAGACATCTAGTCGTCTGCATGTAGATTTTGGAGTCTGAAGGGGTCGGTGTGTTACAGAAGGAGAGTGATGAGACTGAGGCCTGAGTGAGACCAGAATTGTCACAGCTCATATTTTTAACTAATGTGAAAAACCGACAGCTACTAACTAAATCCAAGCTGTCCATGCCCATCCTTTCATTTTTCGACAATTAAATTCGGAGGGGGGGAAAGTGGTAGTCATTTGGTTTAGTCTGATGCCAGGAGTCGTTTTCATCCTAGCACAAATCAGCTAATTTGTCAGGAAGTGCCCCTAGACACACCCCTCTAGTCGATTTGGAAATTTTTATTGTATCTCAGCTGGAAATTTCATACGCTAAATATTGCTTTGAAAGCAAATGTACGTGTCCACCCGTAGAAAACAACACACACAGCCTTCTAAGCCAATAAGCATGCAAGCAAAAAATAGCGTTAGAATAATCTGAGCATTTAGGATAAAAAGGAAACAAAGAGGCACATAACATAAAAACATCAGGCCACTTGCAGACTACATTGAGTTGTAATCTCTCTACACTGGCCTAAAATAATTCTACCCTAATTCTCTCACCGTAGAAAGTGCACACCGCAACCCTGAGCTTCATTCGACTTGCATGCGCGAGCAGTCTGCATTATCGACTGACTCAAGAAGCAGTTCTGCCTGAAAAGTAAAGTGGTGGCTTTTTAATTCAGATTTCCTTCCATATGTTCCTCCATGCGGATCTTTGATCCTGTTAAAATTAGCTGCCTTATGCTGATTGACAGCTTAGTGCAGGGGTGCTAAACCTCGTGGCGATGAAGGGTGAAGTCTCTCGGGAAGATATGACAATGTGAGGTAAATCCAGTAATGCCCTAAATGCAGCAGCACAAATGGGCTCTCTGCACAGGAGACGGCATTATGGAAATAATTGTAGCTATTTACATAAAACAAGCTCCTATTACAATATAGACACATGTCCAGTAGGTGGTCTGTTATAAAGACTAGATTGAGCACCAAATGCCTATTACGCTTGCACAAACCTCTCTTTTCTTTTAGGTAAGTCATGACAAAAAGCCTCAAACGATTTGAAAAGAAATTAAAAACCGCGGCGTTGTGAAAAAGAGTTCTTAAAAGACGTATGGTAAATGAACCTTCAGTTTGTCCCCGCCGTCAAATTTGTCATTTCCTTGTTTGTGGCACGTCAGTCATGCCTGTCAGATTCCTAAACACGAATCTTAACGACCTGGTTTAACAAAGTCACCAATTTTAAAAGCCCCTCAGCATAATGGAAAGTGCTAATGTACTGAGCGACTTACAAACTGAACATCAGACGTGCATATTGGTAGCAAAGAATAGAAGACTGGAAACAAGATTAAAATAATTTTTAAAAAGAGTAAAAATAAACCGTTTCCAATAAACAAATCTTTTTCACAAAGTGCTTTATAAATAAACCTTACTGACTTTACTTACTTCCCTCCTTGAAATGTGGATTAAAAGCATAGGTTAGTATAAAATTGCTGGAAAGCTAATTTCATTAACTGGAGTATTTTGTGAGCAAAATTCTATTGTGTCTTTTCTAATCCCACAGCACATAGCCTAAGCTTTTATCTTTGCAACATTTATATGTATAGTTTCCATCCAGTTATGGGAAAAGCAGTTATTTACCCAAAGACAAGTAAAAGCTTTTCATTAGTTGCTTTCATTCTTTAGTTGCTTTTAATTGTTCTTCCTGTTAATGGAAAAGCTTTTACACGCGAAGCTTTTACACGCGCGCCACTTCTTAAATGTTTCTCAGAATTTGTATTCTAAAGAGGCGCAGTTCGAGGAAGCTTTTAGTTTTCGCCTGTCTGATAACAGTAAATTTGCCTGGAAGGGGAGACTTTCAGTCACACAAATTGTGCCCAAATGTTAAAAAAGGGAAAATATACAAGCTATGTAGACATGAAACTTGAGTTTTTGTTCTTGAAATTGTACTGCACTTTAGGAAATTTCACAAATAAAGGGCAAATTAATGTAATGCATGATTCTAGCCTCAAATACTGAACATGTGTGTATTTATCACACATGTACCCAACATTGGGTACATGTTGAACCAAAGATTTCAGTTGGTTTAAAATGACACTATAGCATACATTTGAATGCTGTAGTACAAATTACCATTTTATTTAGTTTCCTAAACAATTTTTTGGTTGAGGTAATCTGGTTATATGGCCAAGAATTTATCACACATATAGGTGTAATAAAGTTTTTAGTAAAAAATACACACATCTAGTCTTATTGTCTTTATGTGGTTGTTGAGGCCTGTCTCACATTGTCTCTAGTCATTATTATTGGCGCCCTTGGTGAAAATGTTTGCAAAAAGCTGTAAAATAAATGGCTTCAATGGAAACTATGACCCCAAGATGCTACGTACAACAAATATTCAGGCACTTTCAATAGCACAATCTAGAATAATTCAAAATTACAAGCAACTACATTTAATGTTAAGCATGCAACTGCTAATATTTATACACGCTGCTTCTCAGGATAGATTTAGATCTCAAAGTCAAAGGTAGATGGCAGCTTAGCTTGAATATGAGGCGCTATAAAGTGATTTGGATTCTGCATCTTATTAATCTGGCAGAGACAGCTGACCCCTCTATGGGAATTAAATCTTCCTCAGCTCTTTTTGTTACAAAATAAACTTTTGCAAGTTTATGTCCAACTAAACAATACATCGAATTGATCCAGAAGATTTTCTTCTGCTCATGTAGATACGGTTAGACTCACAAGGGCGACTAAATAAGCTATACAAAGAAAGACCAGAATCAAAGTTGAATAAATCCTTGCGGGGTGATTTATGATATCCTTCCTTTTATTTTTAATTAAAATCTGCTCGATTGTACCACTCAGACGGGATACGTCATGTTTATTACTCGGGTGTTATCTGCTCCCCTCGTACGCTCCGTTCCTGCGGTGATGGGATGCATTAGCCGGTATAGATGTCAACAGCCGCTGAAAACCCTTCATTGCAATTAACAGGCAGCAGTGGATTTTATTCACGGCTTTTGCATGTACCTGGCGCTTTTGCTGTTTGTGTGAGGGGAAAACGAGCTGGACCGCAAATAATTTACGGCAAAACTTCTTTATGGGTGCAGATGGTGCAAAGTGCCAAACAGTGAGGGAGCATTCTCTTGCTTCCCTAAGATTCTCTGCCGCCTACTGTTTTGTGAGGGTGCCTAATGATGTATTTTCAGCTGCAAGCCTGGAGAGAGACTCCATCTGCCCTGTTAGTCACCAAGTTCAATTTTAGCTGTTTCTATAAGATCAGAAAACGGCTACGAAAACAGGCTATGCACCTACATTGTGAGACAGGCCTCTACCATGTTTATATTGGTACTGCTTCCCTAAAAGGGTCTGATCCTGCCGTATTTGTTTCTCTGTGCCTCCCTATGCAGTCCAGTCAGTGTGTGCGTGTGTGTCTGATTATCTTTTGACTGCAGTGCCTTGAGAAAGTATTCATACCCCCTGTTTGTTTGTTGTTTTTTTTTGTTTCATTTTGTTTTTTACATTATAACCACAAATTTCAATGAGTTTATTGCAATCCTGTGTGACATCCCATCACAAAATAGTGCATAAGTGTAAATGACACATGGATTTGAAATGTAATTACCTTCATTCTAATTTTCTTAAATAAAACACAGATGCCTTCAAAAATCATCTAATTAGTAAGTAGAATCCATGTTCCTGTTGTTCAGATGCTTCTTAGGTAACATTGGTGAACAAAAACTTGATGAAGACCCAGAATGAGAAGCAGGTTTAGGTGATAATCATTACCCAGTCATAAGGGCTGGACAGTAAATCAGTAACAATATATATTACACACGTGATCAATATCAACAGGTCATAGAGCTGATAGAATATTTAATATCATATTATATTACTGAACTCAAATAGAGAACCACACAGCATTCTGGGAGATGTAGGCGGAAGAGAGGCTTTAGCTTCTCAACCTTTCGGCCAGTGAAGTGAGATTCTGTGGAAACAACTAACTCGCTCTGTTTTCACCTAGCAACAACCTGTTGAGTAACTTTTGCAATAGCGGTTTCAAATTTTGCCACCATGCAAAAAAACAAAACGATGTGGAGTGAAAACTATGGATAAAACGGGAAATGTTTGGCAGTTTTATATTTTTAAAACAAACAAAAAAACGGTCAATAAGTGATAAATATCGACATTGTCTGATATGAAATGTTTACCCTGATATGTTTTTCAGCCCTAACCAGTCAGTCCAAGTCCAAAAAAACTTTAGCAGTTTCTCAAAAATATCGAGGGTACGCGACATGGCATGCAAGATAAAAACTAAACTTTTATTGACCTAAAAAAAGTTAAATAAAGCACAAAATGAGGCAGAAAACCAACTGCATCATAACATCATAGAAGCAGCAATGAAGGTGTCAATGTTGGAGAATGAGTAATTGCAGTGAAGGTGGTTCTACAAAGTATCAATTCAGTGTGAGCTTATAAGAATGATCACACATTCAAATCTTGCTTGTAATAAAACTAATAAACCAGTCACATTTTTGATCTACTTAAATATTATGCACTACTTTGTGTTGGTCCAGGATGTCCCTCAAAAATTCAAGGGATGGGTACATTTGCAGGGCACTGTACGCTTGTATTATATCAGAGTTTGCTCCTTTGTGTTTGCGCTTGTGTTACACTTATCTAACTTGTAGTTAGGTAAGTGTAAAGTCGAGTTGTATTCCACTTGTGTTGCCATTTTCTTTTATTCCTCACCTCCGGGCTCCGGCCCCTCTTCCTGCTCCTCCTTTCCCCAGGACAAGACAAGTGCTCTGAGCCTCAGCAATGTGGCAGGAGTCTTCTACATCCTGATCGGAGGCCTGGGCCTGGCCATGCTGGTGGCACTGGTGGAGTTCTGCTACAAGTCCCGGACCGAGTCGCGCCGAATGAAGGTGTCGACCGCGCGAGCAGCTGCAGCCACAGCCGCTCAGGCCTTTCACTGCTCAGCCTTAGAAAGTGGTGCTAGCGCCCCCTACACAGAGCTGCAGAGCTACGGCCTGTACGCCAACAACACTGTTAAGATATAAGGGCAGAGCACAGCCATGGGGTAGGAAACGCTGTGATCGAACCATGATGATGATGATAATGATGATGATGATGCTGCTGATGATGATGCGTCTGCCTCCACTCCGTCCCGCCCATCTAAACGTGACCACAGTAGGGCCGCTCACGGCTTCCACCGCAGTGCCAACGCTCTCCTGTACCTCTCTCTTCTTCTGACGCTGCCTTGCTCAGTCTCTGTCACTGACCTACTCCAGTGTTTTGTTTTCTTTTTTTAAAAATCACTTGATTTCAAAATTGCCCTTATGCCTGTTTTCTTCCGGATCTGAAAGAACATCTTTGGTGCAATCTATTGGAATAGCATGGCTTTAGCGTGTGGGTTGTTCGGACTCACTTAAATCCATGTTTCGCACATTACCTGCCCACTTTGGTGGGATGAAAAGTGGACACACAAACACCACAAGAACTGGATTAGATACTAATACGAATAACTCAAAGATCAATAATAAGCTTTAAACAGAGAGTTAGGTATAAAAAATAAGAGCAAATCTCCACAGCAGAGACCTGTTCATTTAAAGAAGTTGTGAATAGTGTTGTGCAAACATTTCTCCATGTCTTAAGTCTAATATTCCTGGTTATTTTATCATCTTTTATAGTATTTTACTTGTATTTTTTTCCTGAATATGAATAATATATAAATCAAGAAGATTAAGGACAACCCCTGCTATCCTCTTCATGAGACTGTATTGCGAAAACGGTGTTTTCAGTCAGAGGCCTCCTCGGATTTGCTGCAACACGGAGTGCTACAAGAGATATTTCCTGTCGACAGCCGTCACTATCAACAATAACTCTGAAGAATTTGAATTAATGAGTTACAGCTGTGTTTAATTTCCCTCTGGGATTATTAAAGTACTTCTGACCTTGAATTTGTCCTGAACTTGTAACTGATAAAACAAACGTAAAAAAGAAAAATAAAACATGGCCAAGTACTGGACTAAAACTATCAGCAATGACAACCTATCCCAAAAAAAGAACTTTAGAAAGTCAAAATAACTTTAGATAATGACTAAAAAAAACTACAAATATTTTTTTGACAGATTGTAAATAATTCATAAATAAATCAGAGATTACTCATGAGTTTTACATATAATTGATCAGCTATAAATGGAACCTCACTCTTTTGGACTCATATCTTTGGCAGTAAATATATATATATATATATATATATATATATATATATATATATATATATATATATATATATATATACAATATTTTGTTATGAGCAAAACAGTCCAAGGTCATTTCTTCTTATTTTACTCAACAGAAACCAGACCCACATCTGTCTTGTTTAGGATGAAATATTTGTAAATGTTTGCTCAACACTATGAGATATTTTAAATAAATTTATGCTCTGTTGTTCCATAAATGAAAATGCAATTTTCTTTTTTTTATTTTCCTTCACTGGAAAACTTTCTTAACGGGGCGCTTGTTAAATCGCATCACCGAACTAGTACGATAATCTTTGGCACCCTTTTCACCAATTCCCCTTGCAGCACAGGTATAAAGGCAATTTAAATCACAGTGGTACATCTATCCACTTCTGTCGCTCTGAGCAACTCTCTCTCTCTCGCTCCTTCTTCCTCTTCCTCTTTTCGCTGACTGTCTCGCAATCGCAGGGCCCATTGTGGTGAACATTGTTTACATGTTTATACCATGAGGCGATCCTGGTGCGACTCGCATGTCTTCCATCACTGCTTGAGCCAAAAACAAGTCAAACTGAAACTGTTGAATGTCCAGAGATGTGAAACTGAGGACTTGCTGTTCGTTTTATTTTTTACTTCTCTGGAAGATGTGAGATGTTTAGATGTTAGATGCTCCTGCTTCATGGATCAATTCACACGAAACAAAACGCTTGACTTATTCACCCGATGTCAAAGGCCCTTAGGGCATCCTCGAATACTCTTCACGCGAACAGAAAACTACACGGCAGGGCCGAGACGAGGAGGGGATCTTCTACATCAATCTCTTATATTTTAATCGGGCCACCAAGAGGCACCTGATCAGTATGCTGATGAGGGTGGCGAGAAGCCTATTAGTCCAGCGGCGCCTGCGTGGCCGTTTGCCTTGAAGGGAACAACAACCCCGTTCCAATTAGAGGCTGTGTGGCTCTCCAATCCCCGTGCAGCACTTACAGGTTGCACAAGATCACACTTGCTTTGCCCAATTTAATCAGGTACAGAATAGCAGACGACGACAATGAAGCACCCGTCCGCGGGCACACAAACACACAACGGACGCGCGCGCAATCTTCACACATCATTAGGTTCATCTTTTGAGCCCGGTGGCTTTTATTACGCTGGGTTGGAGAATGAAGCTATTAAAGCAATAAGCGAGGCCTCAGCAACCATCTCACAGCTCACACTTTGCTCTGCTCCTCCTTTTACAAATTAGGACGTGTCAGGCACAACGCCCTGCACCGAGAATTATAACCCGCAAAGATTCCTCAGATCCTAGTAAACGGAGACAAAAGTAGGATGAGATCACCCCTTTTTCTTTTTGTATCTTGACAAGCAAGCACCACATTGAGATCGTACACGAAGAAGACGCTGCTGATTGATTCTCATTCTCATATTAATGTAGCTTATGATCTATGTGTTGCAAGCTTGAACAACTGCTCTAGCTTTCTGTTTAGTTAAGAGAGTTCGGCATGGGTCGGTATCAGTGGACATATCACGGTTTCCTCCAAGAGTTTTAAACAAAAATGTACAAAATGATCAGAAAAGCAACGATCATCTTATAAATTATAACTTCAGTAGAGTTAGAGTTACCACTGATCTACATTGGATGTATTTGCAGGCAAAGACAGAAGACAAGAGGGTCGGGACCTTTACTGTCGTCGTGACCTCTGCTTACCTTGATATCTGAAACCGGCCCGTGCCAACTGATCTAATACAAACCTTTAAAGTCTAAAATGCTGTCAGAATGTTCAAGCCTAACCGGTTTGTTTCCGGCAGCAGTCCATCAACGATGCCATGCGCTGCTCCACCTTGACCAGGATGAGTGGTAACGGGAGCGGAGGAGAGAACGGACGGATCCTCACCCACGACTTCCCCAAGACGGTTCAGACGCTGCCCTGTATGAGCCACACCGCCAGCATGGGACTGGGAACCTCCGGCATGTGATCACCATCTCGTCCCGCTGGGGTCGACGGGACCGTCAGGGTTAGGGGGGTGGGAAGGGTCAGAACGGGAGCACTAAAAATCCTGGCTGTCTGGTTTTAGACCAACCTACTCTCCTGGCTGTCAATGTGCTTGACTTAAAAAAGAAAGAAGAAGAAAAAAATAATAATTAAGACTTGAACTTACTGCCAAAATGCACTCTCCAAACCGCTCCCAAATAAACTATGAACAGCAACTCCACATTTTTTAATAAATGGATGTTTAAAAAAAAAAAGAACAAAATAAATGTGCTGCAATAAAAAAAAAAAAAAAGCTGTCAACGGAGTGTGATTTTGACATTTTTTACAGTGTCCATCTGTGTGGGAAAAAAAAAAAAACAACAAAAAAACCGAAAACTTATTCTTCAGTGTGACGACTGCGCTGTGCCATTTTGATGGCCTTTGTCTCCGTGTGCAATACTCAAACCTCCACTCATGGCCGGACGCTTTCCAACCGGCCGGCGGGATGCGTCTTTGCACGGATCGGACGCAGGAGGGGACGAACACTTGTGACTGCTCTGATATTGTTTTTGGGGACATTTGACCTTCCCGTTCACTCCCTTTTTCACAAACACTCCATTTTTGAAGAGCAGATTGCTTCGTGAAGCCGTTTTTATGACAAAGTGTTATGGTTTACACTGTTGTGATAGCATAGAGCCTCGATGGAGAAGGTCCGAGTTCTGGCCCAGTGAAGATGACTGTTGAGGGGACTCAGCAGTTGACCTGGCTTCAATGAACAAGCGTTGCTGCTACACCTCATTTCACTCCTATTTGCCTTGTCTTGCTACTGTATGATCATTTGCCCCAAATACACACAGACACAACGTCAGGCGAAAGTATTCACCCCCCCCACCCTGACATTTTTTGTGTTTTCCTACCTCACAACCTGGAATTAAAATGGATTACTTTAAGAAATGCATCGTTTTGCTTACATGACATGCCTACAACTTTGAACACCTTCCCCACTGGGATTTTTGCCCCATTCCTCAAGGCAAATTTGCTCCAGCTCCTTCAACTTCGGTAGTTCTCAATTGGATTTAGTTTGAGGCTTTGACTAGGCCATTCCAATACGTTTACACGTTTCCTCTTAAATCTTACTACTGTTGCTTTGGCGTAATGCTTTGTGTCAAAGATCGTGGTTTCCTTCTTACCTTCTTCCATGCAGTCGAGGAGTCTCCCTCGTGCCTTTAGGCAAACTTAAAACGGCAGCAGTGTGAGGAGTTCACCTGTGGGTTGCTGGTCTGAATCTGTGCTCTGATTGCCTCAGTTTTTTGTGTCTTTGGCCAAGACACTTCACCCACCTCGCCTGTTGGTGGCGGTCAGACTTAAATTCATTACGAATGTCACTTCTGAATTGGTCACGCCTTTTAGAGGCTTCGTCGCAAAAGGAGTGAACAGATGTGCACAAGCCAATTATCGGTTTTTATTTTAAGAATCAGTTTTAAAATTAATATAAAACATTTAAATACAGGTTGTAAAGTAACAAAACACAAAATAAATGCCAAGAGTGGTGAATGCTTTTGCCGCAAACTCCACTCCCGTTGCTTCGTGGTCGTAGTTTGGGCGGTTTGTGGTTAAATTGACGGGAGTCTAGAAGGAAAAAAAAGAGTTTTCGGCTACGTCGAGCACAGAGGGACCTCACACTGTATTCTACTGTTGTAAAATTCACAGCATATCCTGTATAAAGCGGACTGAGAACATCTTCCTCGTATTATTGTGCCCTCATTGTTCAGCCACTCCCGGCGTATTTTCAGCTGTCTGCAGTTCTAATGAAATTGGCAGCATGCACGGTTTATTGAGACGGGCATATCCCCTGCAGATTGTGCGTGGCCTATAAAAGGAAGGTTGGCCTCATCTGTCTTGCCGTCGGTAGCTAATAGTGGAAAGAGGCGGAATTGACATAGTTTGAATGACTGACTGACTGTTTCTGTGGGGGGAGAGGTAAAGCATTTTGGAATCACTGTGTGAAGAAAAGAAAACATGGATCTACGTTAGAGGACGGCAGTGTTAACAGGCATCTGAGGCTGGGGGAAGAAAATTCAATACTTTGCACCTCGAGTCTCTGTTAGATATTTTTGCACTTGTTGGTTTAGTTCATACACTCAATGTTAAATTATCAACACTTACTGTACCAACCTAAAATGCTCTCATTCTGTTCTCAGCTGTACAGATCACCTTGTGTTTGTATCACAGTCTGTTTTGCTTTTTGTTTTTTTGTTTTTCCGTCTGGGCTTTACGGTTTCTTCTTGTTGCACTTCACAAATTCGGCTCAACAGTTTGAATTCAACGCGTTTACACGCAGAATGATATATTTCTAGGGTTTCTGTTGGTTTAAATGAGCGCGGATTACAGCTACCGAAAACCTAGTTCAAAGTTCAACTTCCAACACTTGAGTTAGGTCACTTTGTGTGGACTGAATCTTTTTAAATTGTTTCAAAGTTTCGATTTTTGTTGTCGTCGGTTTTGCATCGAACGCTCAATTCAAAAGCAACGTTTTAATAATATTCTCATTTGCTCACACTGAGCACTCGAGAAAAAGTCAGATATTAATGAGGATTATGTTTTGCTAGCTGGAACGATCTGATCATTTTAGATGTCTGCACCTTTTTTTTCTATTATTGGCAGTGGGCAGAGTAGAAGGTGTGATCACAGCTTTCCTTGGGGCAGCATCTCATCTGAAATGCGCTGACAGTTGTTGAGCCGTTTCCCTTTAGATCACTGTCAGTCAAATTTTAAAAGCAGACATGGATACAGCTTTCATAAATATGTCTAAATATAAAGGGCAGCAATGTTGGGTTTTTTTGTTGGTTTTTTTTTTTTTGCATTTTGTAATGTCTCTTGGTACGTTTTGATGGATCTCCCCATGGTCATCCTCTCACGATGCAAGAGCCTTAACATTTGCTGAAGTACAAGCTCATAAATTACATCGATGCCCCAAGCACGGCCTCCCAGGTAAATCTCTGTATGTAACGTAGCATTTTTATGCCTCATTAGGTTTACTTCCTGTTCATGAATAATGTTGAGAATCCACTTGAAAAAGCGAGCTTCGTCCAAGTGATGTTTTCGTACAAATATTTGTTTTTGGACCAAAAACAAATATTTGGGGATCTTAAATGAGATTATTTCAGTCAGTGCTACTATGGGTAAGATATTGGGCAATGTAAGATTATTTAAGACCACAGGACAAAAAATGTTACTTCTGCTGATATTCTAATTATTACAGTTCTCCTATAGAGTGATACAGATGCAAAAAGTTGAAGTTAGCTAGTTAGGTTGGCCATCTGCTTGGGTGAAAGTTGACTGCTAAGCAAGGATGCTACTCATAGCTTATAAATATAGATATTCACTTCAAAATCCTTCAAACTTTTACTTTTGTCAAAAAAGTAAGGCTACAAATATGTTTCTCTACAAAAGCTGGGGGAATAATATGAGCTTTGTCTCTGCATTTCCATCCTTCTTTTGTTCTTTTTTACTCTGTTCAGCTTACTGCAACGTTATTTATCTGCGCTGTATTTAGGTATTAATCAAGTATGAGGAAATTCTTAAAGAAGCGAAAGCGGGGATAATAGATCGATTAAACCGCGCCGTCATCACTCCGACTCGGCATCTATGAGCTTAAAAGTGAGAAGTGTGTGATTTCTATTCCTCTTGAGGTGACTGAAAGGTTACCTGGAATGGGAGTTTTTCTGCTGCTGGAAACCCCAGGTGAGCCTTAGTTTATGAACCGCACATTCGAATTGACCTCTCATTTCAAAGGCCAGGCGCCCGTGTGAAGGCAGCGCGCCTCGAATGCGTGAGTGAGTTTCATTTTCACGGCTTTTGCTGAAAAAAAAAAAACGAGAAAAATAACACGGTACCAAAATCTAGTGTATGACTTACTCTGGGCTACATAAGTGGGCAGTCGGAGTTTACCCAAGTCATACATGTCTGCTAGTGTTCTGTATATAAAAGGATTTTTCTCTTTACCAGTGAAAAATGTTTGTTCTCTCTGAAGTCATACGTCAGCGTGCCAGAATTAGTTCACAGCAGAACCTTTTTTCTTTCCTCCTTCGTCCGTCTTCTTTTCATTTTTAGGGTGTCAATAGTACACAGCACAGCTCTCTTCAGAAGAGGCGATATGTTTTATAAACCATTAAATAAAGGATTTGTAAAAAAGAAGAAAAAAATGAAACAAATGATCAAAAACAGACTGTGTTTTCACTGTAAAGGCGTTGGGATACTAGCAAAGTGGCACTTTGAAAAGTATTTAAAGAACATAATATACACACACACTGCTGTTGAATAATCTGTAGATGCTAATGATGTTTAAATCCAGGTTTCTGGTTGATTTCGATTTATTTTTTTTTTCTGTTTTCAGAAAGGCACTTCCTGACGGTATTTTAAGTGCTTTAAATGTAACGATGTGGATATTTCTTTTTGTGTTTGTTGTAGTCATTTTTACAGTGTTTTACTACTGGGATCTACAGTTTGTTCACCAGACATGGAATTATTTTAGGGGGTTTTTTTCAGTTATTTTTATTCTTTTTTTTTTTCGCTTTGTTTTGTTTTTAAACTTTGAAAAGTTTTCACTGAGCTTATTTAAAACAGTGGTGAATAACTTGGTAAATAGTTTAAAATATATGTATAAGAGAATAGAACTATTATGGGTCAGATTTTTGAGAAATAAACATTTTTTCTAACCAAAGTGTCCTGGAACAAAGTCATGCTTTTGTAACTGAATAAAGGAATAACCACGGATGTTTGTCCAGCTGTTTACTTACTTAGTGAAGACTCACACCGACTGAGGCTTGAGCACGTCAAATTTGACTTTCCATGTCGGAAGCGCTGATCCAAAGAACTATTTGAATGAATCGCTTGACATGAACTGCCAGATAATTAGATTCGAGTCTGTTTCTATTGACTTATTGCTCCATATCCAAGTCGTAGAAAATAACATTTACTTTGGCAGTTCAAAGTAAATGTTATTTTTAAATGTTAAAACCATTTCAAATTACAATCTCAGTTGTGAACATACAGAAGAAATTCACATCATCTCCATTAACCCGCAAAGCACAGGGTTGGGATATATACTGACCAGAAAGTGCTGCTTTTGGAACAATGTCTGATCCGCTTGCATTCACACTGCCTTCAAACCGATTTAAGAGTCTGATTAAAGTGGACTAAACAGGGCTGCTGTGAATACACCCTACGAGACCACTGCACTGACCCCCATAGTCATTCCACAAAATGTTGATTTCTGAACTCAAAACATTAGTGTTGTTGTTTCTAAATAAAAATGTACTTGTTTGGTAATTTGACCATTTTTCTTTTTCTGCAGTTTTTGCTTGGAATATGAGAGACATGTTGTCATTAGTTCATAGAGTAAAAGAACAATGTTCACTTTACTCAAACATACACCTATAAGAAGTAAAATCAGCTAAAACTGATCATTTTAAGTGGCCTCTTAATTTTTTCCAGGACGGCAAGTAGAGGCAAGACGTGCAGTATTAAGTAATGCAGCTTGTTTTCTCCATATTTTGCCTTTTTCAATCAAATGGACATAAATAAAGTCCGGAACAACCAGCTATTTCAAATTTCCTGGATGCATTCAAGGACATAAAAGCCAATAGCAAAAGGAGCATGACAGGCGTTGCAGTTCTACGCATGTCATCACCTGTCGCCACTCATCACAAACCCCCCTTTTGCAAACTCAACACATGGTCAGCCTGCTCAAAATGTTCATTCGACTTTTGTACTCGAACATCAGTTCAGTGCAGCTCTGTGGTTCCAAACCGAACTCGTCTCCGGCGAGAGAGAGCGAAGCGGGCGCTGCGAAACAACAAATCCTCATTGTTTGATGATTAAAAATAAAGTCTGCCTCCCCATCCACGTCTCAGCGAACGTTCACACATCCAAATCCCCCATGAGCTCAAAGGTTGGGGTGGAGGGGGGGGAAAAAACACAAAAAACAAAAAATGGCTTTCATTACCTGGAAGAAACATTTCATGCAACAGTTCTCTCTCATATCGTTGTTCAGCCCAGAAGCAGGATTTGTGATTATTATTGTAATGAGGACACAAATATAGAAAGTGTCACAGTCAGCCGCGTTGCTTATCACCGTATGCAACTGTGCGCGCGCGCATGTGTGCGACGTTGGAGATGGCGGGATGTCACGCTGTGTCACCCCGCTCTGTGATTAGTGACATAAGCTTCTTCATTCTGACAGCCTGAGGTCCACTGTATAATTAACATGTCCCTCTTTCTGTCCCTCATTTTCACTTTTCCAAGCACCATGTTTACCTATTAATGGGGATGCTGAGCTGGAAGCTTTTTAACTTCTTTGTTTTCGCAGCCTTATTGAAACAACTGTTGTGAATACTTGCACACGCATAGCATGTACAGAAAGTGCAAGGTGGTTTCCACTGAGCCTCTCAGCGCATATTAAGGTGTGTTTGGTGTGTGAATTATTAAAATAAGCATTTAGAAATGATCTCAAGCATTTACACATATCAGCTATTTGCAAATGGTTGTGGTCCTTAACCCCACCGTATAGAATTGGTTCAGTCCTTGTGAGGGTTTCACTCTGGTTTCCAGCTGGCAGGAACCTGTAGCTGCTTTAGGTGCAGCCAACTGATGAGTACCTCCGCAAAGGTTGTGTATTTTTAGAAATCCTAAAGCAAGTAATACCCAAAGAGTATTTAGAATGTGGCCACATTGAAATGAAATAAAAAAAACACGAGTATTTTCACCAGTCATTACAAGTGACTTCTGGCACTCGCAGCCCCTCGTTAAAGGTCCTGTCGAAGAAAAATGACCTGGCAGCGACCGCGGATGCATGCATTCTCCGCGTACACAGGCTAATAAACATGTTCACATTTTCTCTAATAAGGACAGTGGAATAACAGTGAGGCCAGTTTCCAAGGCACCTGGAGAAGGTGATATGTCTGTACACCCACGCATGCTGTCAGCATAGTTCGGTCACGTATAACATGCTGCTGTGGACGAACCAGTTTTCTCAAACGAGCTTTCAAAGGCATTATTTGTTACTGTTGTTTGATCAATTCATCTGTGTTTGGAGAAGGATTCGAACTAAATACTAGCAAATCCCAAAGCTTCCCATTTGCAGAGTCCTTTTCATGTTCTTTATTGGTCTTGGGATTATGGCTATTAGAGAATATTTGTCAATGAGGTCATCTTTTAAAGTCAAAAACTATGTTTGAGTGGAGAAAAGGAGTGCTCTTCTTTTTTTTTTTTTTTTTTAAATCAGCTCTATTTCTAAAGTCAATCATCCTCCCCCTTTGTGTTTAAGTGATGTTGTTATGAGATGGGGTAATCCAGCTCCAACGAAGCATATCCACCTAGCATGTAACGCATGTTTCCCCAAAACGAGAAGGAGAGAAAATCAATAGCAGTGAAGAAGCTGCTGTCAGCTTGTGTTGATGAGATAGAGTAAAGTCTCGCAGCCATCAGGGAGGAAAAGCTTATTTCCTCTTTCGAACAGCTTGAATTAACTGTTTTAATCTCTGATAAAAGGCCAGTGTCCCTCACACGCGGCTTCCCTGACGTCAAAGCCTCCTCATTATTTCTGTGTGTCAGCTCACTTGTAAATCACCTGCATCTCTCTTTTTTGTGTGTGTGTGTGTGTGTGTTCCCTCGCGTAGTTACCCGTTGTTTCTCCACGCCGACTCCCACCAGCAACTGCAGGTGGTGTCTGCAGCTATTTGCGTGTGTGGGAGGCACTTTCTGCTCACGTAAAGAGCTCCTGAGAGGCAGACGCCGGCACGGGGCGCGGGGAACACATGCTGCGCTTCCAAAGATGCTGCAAGACTCGGTCCCTGTTATAGCATGCGGCATCTCTTGTCTCTCGTTCATCCCGCCCTCGGGCCGGTTGTTGCAGCCTGAGTGACTGACACTCCTGGCAGCATGAAATCTAAGGAAGGCATCTGACACCTTGTCGAGAAACAAAAATTGCCTCGGGACAGTCTTAGAGCTCCCTTGATCACACATATCACAGTGGTTACACGGGATGTCTATGTTCTACTTCCTGTTAAACCCACGTGTCGTGAAAAGTTGAAATAAGTTATCAGGTCAAAGGTTCAATCATGAGTTAGAGTGTGATACTTGTTGGATTTATTGGGAGAAGCATTAGCAGAGATGCTAACAGTAGCACAATCAGTGCTTTCTCACTGTGGTTGATGTTTCTTGTTTGAAACTCTTCACATTTTTGCTCTGTCAGGAACCCACAGTGCTTCCACGCTAATAATTTATGAGCGGTAGACCAAGTGCTTCCGGCAAATCCAGGGAGCAGCTTTGTGCAGTTGACCCCCAACAGGAGATTAAGATGTCGAGCCTAAAACACTTACCTTAGCAGCTCATAGCGGTCGCTTAAATTGTTTCAGCAAATAGAAAAGGCGCTTTGCGAGACATACTGCCTTTTGGAGGGAAACATTGTGGCATTTCAGTGTTGAAAGATCTTGCAAAGTGAAGGTTGCACAAACTCCTGCTGTAAAATAAGCACTAATGGGGTTGAGCACAGAGTTCTGATAATATCAAAATCTGCTTCTTCTCAGCAGCTTAGCCACTTTATACATAGTTATCCATTAAAATGCTGTTTGTGACAAAAACTGTCATTCAAAAAGTGGTACTAAGTCTGTATAAACCGACAGAAAGCCCATCCTGCACTTTCCTACTTTGTTTCATCTTTTGAAAGGCTTTTTGTTTTTATAAAAAAATTCCTCATGTGAAATTTCACTGAACAGACACGCCACCGGTGTAAAACACAGTGTGAACGTGGCTGAAAAGTGCACGTTGCAAAGACGATTTCATGAAGACATTTACCGCCGTCTATAAATCGGTTGGGTTTTTAACACCACTGAAGTTCATGCTGATGAAGAAAAAGTCCAATTTCTATATTTCAGGCCTGATTGCAGGTGGTGACTGCAAAGCCCCCAACATTGTCAACGCACATCCATTATTTGGAGAGCTTGGCTTCCCTTCAAAGCCAACATGTTAACGTTAAGCAAAGTCAATTCTGAGCTCATTGTACCGACAGAGACAGAAACTGCAGAGGAGAAAACAGTGTTAAATATTCTTTAACCACTCCAGTGATCAGCAGATGAATCAAGGCTCACATTTTAAGCCTTCACTTATCCCATTAGCTTGTGATTTACGAGGGGTAATGCAGTTATAATGCTCTGTAAATGAAAACGTATGAAGTTATAATGAGTTATGATTCAGCTGCTGCTTTATTGTTCCCGCCACGTCTGTGTGGTGTTGAGGGTCACTCTGGGCCTGGGCTGAAAGGGACTGTAAATCATGATCCAGGGCCCATTAGTCCAACGCTATCGAGATTCAGCAGCTCCTTTTGTGAGAGATGTGCTTCGCTCGATGTTTAGGGAATGGAGATGAGGCTGCTGCCGCTGCTGCCGGGTCCTCGCGAGGTTTGAGGGAACCCGAAAGGCCCTGAGACTCATCTCTTGTCCTTTGTTTCCTAACCGTCCGTCTCTGTGGGCGAAGGCAGCGGCGACCGTCTTTTGGTGAAGATGGATGGAGGTGGTAAACAGGAGTCGGACAAGGAGGGTTGCTGGGCAGCTGGAGGGAGGGGGGTGAAGGGAGAGATGTATGGTCCCCCACATCGGCTCAGACAGAATGACAGATGAGCAGACTCTGCTTCCCCCAGTGATCAAAGTTATGAGGCCTCCCTCGTGAAACCTGGCTTAATCCAAGCCCATCGGCTTGGTAGTTGGGGTTAAAACT